AATATTTGCTCAGTACTACTAAATTGGTTGAAATAATAGGTACAGTGCGATTTTTTATAAGTTCAACACGCATGTGCGTCTCTCGCTGAATAAGAGGTGCTTTCTGTTGACGAATATATGTGGCTCTCGCTGTGAGAAACTGCCAATTACCTGCCCCATGAACACGTCACTCGCTGTGAGGAGCTGAGTAATGTGCCCCATAAATGCAGCTCTCGGCCTTAATGAGTCAGTACAGCCACAGAATAATCAGTGTCAAGTATATCCTAAAATTAATTTCTGTGAAGCCCATTTCTGGTGTCCCCCGCCGTGATATTGCAGGAATATAGCTGAAAGCGGCGTAAACTAAACTCACTAACTAAAACAAATTTCCTTCAGCGCTCAAGGCAGAGCAGTATTTGAGACTCTATGAAAGGCTTGCTAAAAATCAGGGATTCCACCACGTGTTTTGTAAAAAGATAACAAAGTGTACCAAGCCACACATTGTGTAGTGGTCATAAAACATATTTATCCATGACCATTATTCCAACTTAACGCTGTCCACGAATACACCATTCTGGCTCTTACACCAAAACCTATTTGATCATATTGACTTGTGGTAATAGTGACCTTCCAATGTGATTTTCAAAATGGACCCAATAGTATCCCAATTCTTGTGTGACTGGGCCTGTCTTCGAAAAGGTTTCAATATGAAATAAATGTGTTGCTGTAGACTCAAGTTTGTGCCTATAGGACCATGGAGTTTATCAGCTTTTGTTAGAATTAAGTATGTAACCTTCCATTACCCTTAATAAGAAAAAGTGTACTGAACACTTAGCAAGACATTGAACTATTTAACATTCCATTATCCTCAATACGAAACACATTATGATATTCATATCTAACTGAATCTGTGAATGGTAAAGTGTTTTCCAAACAACGCAAGGTGCACTGGAAAATACGTCTCATTATATATTTTGAAATCAAAGCAAACTTGCATTCACGTAAGTTAAGGCTTTTCGGAAAGTTCATTTAGTGAACAAGAGAAAATCGACCTTCCACAAATAGTGTTAAACGAAATGTATTGCGTCGGAAGAAGTTGTATTACACATATCCCCTTCGGGGAATATGTGAATATACGCTTTTAATTAAGGTAAATTTGTAGTGCTGCGAACAGATTCGTGAAGGTGTTTAACAAGGGTTAAAAAGACAACTTAACAACAACTGAATATCTTCTACAAAGTGTCAGTATTTCGACATGATCATTGAATATCCAGGCTAAAGGGTAATGTTACGTTTCTTTTTATTCATGTATTCTACATACAGCCAAACGTATATATAGAGTTTGAGCTTCAAGTGATTGTGATGTTTGTTGGTTTGTTTTTGAATGCTACCTAAGAAAATGTCTCATCATCTTTCAAACTAGGTGCCAGTGTTGCTGTTGAGAAAATACGGGTGAGAATATATATGTTGTTTCATCAGGTAACCACATCGATGCGTCACTCACCCGATACTGCCACTATATAGAGAACAAGTGCGTGAGTGAGTTAAAATTTAAAGTCACATCGGCAATATTTCAGCCATATCGTAACTAAAACAAGTTTCAAATTAACCATAAATACATGTAAATTATAAAAACATGTCATCGAAGGACAGTAAAACAGACTAGAATATCACAGTATCAAGAAATAAAACTAGCAACTCTCTCTAAAATTGTATTTTAAATTAGGACAATACAGTATAAAAATGGGCTATAGATTGCCAACAGCTGAAGGTAGATCACCATACCAGACTTACCATGGGGACTTACAGTGATTTTGCTACCTGCACGGACCCTAGTTGGATTTACACCATCCCTTCAGCCGCTGGCGATTGTAGGAAAGTTAAGCCATAATTTAATACAACGAATATGCTATGATTAAAAGTTCGGTAGGCGAAATTGACCTTGAAAGTTTTGGGACTTACGTACCCTCTCAGGAGGACAATAATTTTACTGTTCTTTAACCCCCTTTGAGCCTTTGAGGATACAACCACTAACAATCGAAGTTGATAATCTAAACTACCAATTATAAAACGTTATCTATTTACAAAACATCATCAAAATTCATTTAACAAATCTATCTCTTTTAAAAATCAATTATTAGATGATAATTAACATTATTAAAAATGTCCTTTACTGTATAGAGAACAAGCTTCAGAAATTGTACCAGTGAAATTGACGTGGAGGTTGCCTTTCGAGAAATAAAGTCATGCCTGTTTTTAAGCTGAACTCCCATACTTTAACATAGGTCAAATGACCCATGAATTCTTTTTCGTTAGAAAATCGAGACTGATTATACTCTCACACATCACTCACAAACCAAAAGAAAACGATAAGTGAAAACAGTTTACATCACTATTTGCATTCCGATACCATGGAAATTAAAGTTAATCATACAACCCAAATCTTTGTTTTATTATGGGATCTACTCATAGAATCAATAAGCTTCCCTTTTAACAGGTTTTTGTCTTCTATGGCCCATGAAATCGAGTCTGAAACACATAAAGAAACCCCGTGTTATTGCCATGCATACAAGTGGCTGACTCATCAGGGTTCCTCTCTGTATGGTTAGGTCTGCATATAGAAGAAAAACTGTAAACGGTTGTTTGTGGGATCGCACAAATAGAACCTTTAGCTGGTACTTAGAGTTATTCAGTGAAAATTGATCCACATTCTAACTTGCAGGTATATAATGTTTAACTCTATATCCACTGACCATCCAACGGAAGCGACACAATAAGGATGGCTCGGTCTGTATTCACACATGTCATCAGCACTTGTATTTTCACTGCTATTCTCATTCATATTCACGGAAACAGATCAGATGATCAAGGGAGACTTTGCCAACATTTGCTAAGTAACAGCAAACCACAACAGTTCCCAAGCAACAAGACTCTTTGAAAGTGGTCTGACTTAATTGCTATCAATTGTTACTGGTCTTAACGTTATTATCGATCGAATTTGGTCATCACGGATTCATTATTCAGTGAATATTGATCTACATTCTAACTTGCAGGTATATAATGTTTAACTCTACAACCATACACCATTAAACGAAAACGACGCCGTATTGATGGCTCTGGCTGTTTTCACAGGTGTCATCAGCAACAGTGTAATCTTCGAATGGCTCTTACAAGCAATACACATCAAAGTTTATATGTCTCGACTTCTCTGTTTTGTCGTTTTATGCAGCTATATCCACACATATAATACAATACTATCAACATGCAACTTCTCTCTCTCTTTTGATAATGCGTTCTTACAGTGAAATTTGGTTATGTTTTTTGCAGTTCTCGTCATACACTGAGCAGACAATTTCTGCACCTTCAACGAACAAGTTGGGATCTGCAAAATAATCAGTGTTGAGTATCTCTTGAAACAAATTCCCGTGAGCGTTCATGGCAGAGCAGTAGTTGAAACTCTATGAAAGGCTTACTGAAAATCAGTGATTATTCAAGTGATTAGAAAGGATAACAAAGTGTATTAAGTTACATATCGTGTAGTTGTCACAAAACATATTTATCCGTGACCATTATTCCAACGTTACGCTGTTCACGAATACACAATTCTGTTTCGTGCACCCAAAGCTAATTCATCACATCGAAATAACTTGTGGTAATAGTGACCTTCCAACGTGATTTTCAAAATGGATCCAATGGTACCCCAATACCCTGCTCACTTCGTTCCTTGTATTCCAACGCTATGTAAATTAAAGATAAGTATACAACGCAACTCTTTGTTTGATTATGCGTCCTACTTATGGAATCAATCAGCTTCCCTTTTCACAAATTTTGTCTTCTATGGCCCATGAAATGAGTTAAAATATTCTCTGTCGTTAACACATCTCTCAAAAACAATGAAATTAGAATTAAGTGGAAACACTTACGCCATTATTTGTAGTCTGGTGCAATATAACCATTATAGATACTTATATACGCAAATCATTGTTTGAATATGGGTCCTACTCATCGAATCGATAAGTTTCCCTTTTAACAGCCAAAATATAATCATAAAAAAAACATATTAAGTAAACCAGTATTTATTGCTATGCATACAAATGGCTCATCTATAAGGGTTGCACTCTGTATGACGACAATTAGGTCTTCATATAGAAGAAAAAACATAAAAGGTTTCTGGTGTGTTCTGGTACTTAGAGTGATTCAGTGAATATTTATCTACATTCTAACTTGCAGGTATATAATATTTAACTCAACAACCACTGAGAATCCAACGGATGGTAAGCACTAAGGATGGCTCTGACTGTATTCAAACGTGTTATCAGCATTGGTATTTTTACTACTATTCTCGTTCATGTTCACGGAAACAGATCAGATGATCAAGGGAGACTTTTACAACACTTGCTACCTAACAGCAAACCACAACAGTTCCCAAGCAACGAAGTACTCTACATAAGTATATTGTTTATGTATCCACAAATAGTTGAACAGGATGAACAGCGACAATCAATCACCACCAGTGGATGGTTCAGACTGCAGTGGATGGATGAAGCCTTGATGTGGAACGCCTCAGACTTCAACAACATTAAGAACATGACTCTGGCAAGTGATAGAGTTTGGACACCTGATGTACTGCTTCTCAATTCTGCTACAGGCAGGACGTTATTTAATCAACACACTGTACCTCTAGCTGTGGACCACACAGGAGTAGTCACATGGTACCACGGTGATATCTTCCAGAGCCATTGCGATTTTGATGTTGTATATTTTCCGTTTGATACTCAAAACTGCAGTCTTGTTTTGTCAACATGGGTCACACAATCGGATAGTATGCACTTCACGCCAGGTACACATAAATCCAATGTAAATATTGCTTTCGAGAATGGATTATGGCAATTACAGAACATTTCAATATTTGCCTACGAAACAGTCTATCCATATCTCATTGTAAACCTCACCATTAAGCGCCAACCATCATACTATGTTTTCAACTTGATCATCCCTATTGTGCTACTATCCATTCTCAGTTCCCTGGTGTTTGCTCTGCCAGCAGAGTATGGAGACAAAGTAGGTCTCTCCATGACCGTTCTACTCTCCTTTGGGGTCTTTCTCACTCAGATGACAAACAATATGCCCAAGACATCCCGTCAGACGTCCTACCTCACCATCTACCTGATCATCCTCCTCACCCTAAGCTCCATCCATGTGGTAATGTCCGTTGTTATCCTCAGAATACACAGGCGACAAGGTGTGGTCCCGTTGTTGTTGCAGAAATTAGTAATGTATTTGAAGTGTTGTCATTCAAATAAGAGACTGGATCTTCATGTTCATGAAAACCACATTGATGATGTGATTACAAAGAAGTGCACAGATGATGCAACCTGGAAGGATGTATCTTCCATGCTTGATGCAATGTGTCTGAGGGCATTCTTCTTCATCAACATCACATGTGGCGTCATCTTCTTCACCATCCTTACAAGAGCGTAAAGTTGGTCGTTGTCTTTGGTTGAAATGCAATAGTATATGTGTGTATTATTGTGACGATAGTTGATTACAATTAACTAAAACTTTCTAATAACTAATAATATGTGTTTTATAATATATATATATATATATATATATATATATATATATATATATATATATGTCTCTGTGTCTGTGTGTGTGTGTTAAATGATGCTATTAGTGCCTGCATTTATATTACTTAATTTCCTCAGCATGAACACAGTATGATAATGGATGTATTATTTTGATGTGTCAAAGTAAAACTGTTACGTTTTTATGCATACATTTAAACTTATTATATTACATCAAGTGACAGTCTTTGGTATTATTGTGTTCAACTGTAGTCACTTCCCATTCGTAATCGCCAAAATGTGATTCTTAAAGAAAATATCAATATGAAATGTCCACTATGTAATGAATTTACGGAGACTGTCCAACACCTTGTCAGTGGAGGCCCTTCTTTGGCACAAATAGCATATCTTATATGACATGATAACACGGCTCATTGCTTTTACTACCGTCTCCGACATGTCTGTGGCTGTGACTCCGAGGTCCATTTATGGTATGACCCTCAACATGTCCAGGGTGTCATTGAAAAAGATGCTTACAAACGTCTGTGGTATAGGCCCATATACAGCCTCAAAAGAATTCCTGCCAACAAACCTGATCTTGTCCTTTTTAATAAAGCCAATGAATTTATTTATATCATTGAATTTTCTGTCCCTTTTGGCAGCAGTGTGATTGGCAAGATTCAGGAAAAGCGATAAATATGCGAAGCTCGCCTTTGAAATGTCTCGCTTGCATCCCAAGTACACTGTCGTCAGGCTCCCCATTGTTCTCGGTGCCCTTGGTTTGGTACCTCCTGTACCTCCAGATCAGGAGAGTGCCCGGGTTCTCCACCGGAAGCACAGCCCCTTCTGACACTCTGGGTAATGCAGAAGGCTGCAGTGTTGGGGAGCCTTCATATTCTCCGGAAAGTTCTTGGTGGGTTCGACTAGGCAGTGTTTCCTGGGAATAGTGCCATTCGCTGTCTGGGCTGCGTGTAGAGGGGGCAAGGGCCTTGAGCTGATCATGAGCCTTACCAGCCTGATTGTGCCAGGATCACCCGAACCATCTCTGCTGCATTTTCATCTTTAATCTGTAAAACATAATAATAATATGTGCATTTCTGTAGCGCATCTATTCACACAATAGCATGTTCTGTGCGCTGCTCAGACAAACTGATTGTTAAAGAAATGTCTTTTGAAACAGATAAGTCTTTAGATTATTTTTTAAGGAAGGCACGGTTTCAACCATTTTTTAGGGATGCAGGCAGCTCATTCCATAAGGTTGAGGCAGCGTAGGCAAAGGATCTTTTACCAAATGTGACTGTCTTATACTTTGGAACTGTAAGGAGATGCTTGTGCTGAGATCGAAGAGATCTAGATGAGAGTATGTGTGCAGACGTTCTTGCAGGTAAGATGGAGCCAGATCGTGGAAGCACTTCTAAGCAGTCAGAAGAATTTTGAAGTCTATGCGAGGAGCTACAGGGAGCCAAACGAGGTCTTTCAGTAATGGCGTTATATGGTCAAACTTTGAAGATTTGAAGATAATTCTTGCAGCAGAGTTCTGAATGGCTTGAAGTATTTCTATCTGGTCTTTGTTGATATTAACAAAGCGGCTATTGCAGTAGTCTATTCTGGATAGAATCATCGCAACGGTAAGTTTGACAGTCGAATCTTTGTTGAGATATGGCCTGAGTTTTCCAATGTTACGTAGATGGTAATTAGCTGTCTGACATACACGTGTTACGTGGAGATTCATCATCAGCTGCTGGTCCAGCCAAACTCCAAGGTTTCGTACTGTTTCTGAGGGTTGAATGGCTGCACCTTCTATGTCCAGATGTCCTATATCACCACTGTATTTAATGAGTTTTTAGGGCCAAATAGAATGACTTCTGTCTTTCCCTGGTTTAGTTTGAGCATCCATTTCTTTACATCAGAGAAGCAGTGTTCCAGAACATGAGCTGAAGATTGGGCGTTAGGCGTTATGAATGAGACATAGAGTTGATTATCGTCAGCATACTGATGTTGATTCACATTGTGGTTGTTAGCGATAGTACTTAGTGACCCTGTGTAGAGTGAGAACAAAATGGGTCCTAGAACAGAACCTTGTGGAACACCACAATCGAGACTGAGTGTGGAGGATATGGAATTACGTACAGCTACAACTTGCGATCTGTCAGTAATGTATGAGGTCAGCCAAGTATGTACTGTGCCAGTCATTCCTAGGTCATGCCGAAGTGTGTTCAGCAGTATTCTGTGGTCCACTGTGTCGAATGCCGCAGAGAGGTCAAGTAGGACCTATAGGGTCATATTCTGGTTGTCCATTGCAGTGAGAATGTCGTTTGTCACTCTGAGTAAGTAAGGCTGTCTCCGTACTATGTCCTGTCCTGTAGGCAGACTGAAACTTCTCGAACATGCTGGTTCTGATAAGATGATCTTGTATACGGGCAGCAGCACCTTTTTCCAAAACTTTGGATAAGAACGAGATATTAGATGCTGGTCTGTCATTTTGTCAGAATGTTGCCATCAAGACCTTGTTTCTTCAGGTTGGGTTTCACAAGGGCACCCTTGTAGGAGGTTGGTAACTTGCCTGTAGATAAGGACAATTTGACTATTCTTGTGATGACCGGAAGTAGGAAATCAATACAGTCAATCAGCAGATGGGTTGGGATCGGATCGAATTCACAGTACTTAGGCTGCAGCTGCTTAATAAGCTTCGGCACTTCCTCATCTGAGAAAGGGGATAACTCTGTTAATTCTGGAACAGTATCATCTTTTCTTTCCTGATCAGGTAGTTAACCTTGTGTTTCTGTTGAACATAGAGCTGACGGTCGATTACAAGATTTGATTCTGCCATTTCTTTTCTAATTTCCTTCTGATTGTCTTTTCCTTTTAGCTCGTTAAGCCCGAAATTCTTGGTTTCTCATTTACCAGTTAGGATAATACCGTCCCAGATTTACCTGTAAGGCCACAGACTCAATGATCATATTACTTACCACTGTATTCAATCATGCACCTGTTCTACCTGGAGTTTGTTTTAAGCGTTATAATGTCAGAATACAGTCGATCCTTTCATACACCTCAGAACATTACACATACAAGATGTCAAATAATGGTTAACATTGGACGACAACGTTCTAAATTGAGCTCATTAAGATCGTGTCTTTTATGTCGTAAAAGTATAGAGAATGAATTACATACAGTGTTCGTTATAAGGTTTACACTTATTTTAGGGAAGCATATAGACCACAGGATAATTTGAATTCATGTAAATCTCTGTTGAAATCTAAGGATGGAAAAAAACATTGTTTCATCACTAAGCACTTTGCATGCAGTTTTGTGATTCGCTTCATGAAATAATTTTACGCCCATTTTCTTACATTACCTGCACAGATGTATGCAGCATATATGTATAGCTGAGTTGTTCTCACTGGTACTATATCTGCTTTTGTATATGCGATATATGTTGAACCCTTGGATAAATATTCTCGTCATACAATATGGAGATCAATCCAAATTAGAGTGTTCATAAATTAGAACCTGTTTTACAAAAGGTTGACAAGAAAACTGATTGTAAGCGACCTATATTCTTTGTCAACTGTATTACTAAAATAATAAATTGCAAATAAAACTGGTATATTTTGTAATCTGTGAATGACATTTAAAACCAATGCATACAAAGGGGGATATTTATATGTGTCAACTTCTGCATTGTGAAGACAGCATGTTCTTCGCATCCATTCATTTTCCTTCATTTATATATGGTTTAGTTCCATGTTTTCTGCTACATGCTATGTTATAAAACTACATCCACACTTACAGTACAGGTGACTTGGTAAAAAATAATTGGAATGCTACCATTAACCTCGGAATAACACAGTTGGCCTACATACATTTCACTCCTTCATACCTGTTTTTGCTCCATATATTCTGGTTTTAATGTCAAAATGCAGACTTTAGAGTGTTTTACGAAAATGAATTGGGATACATCGAAGGTTAGCAGACCGATTGACTACCACTGACTACCTTCAACAAACTGTCCAGCATGTATGTTATTTTCATCGTTTTTAAAAAAACCCAGCACTGTTGTATTCATCAAAAAGGAACACGCAAGGTCAATGTATTGCTGTTTATTACTCTCCCGTGGAAGATACCGCAGTGTCATATCTTACGTCAATATTACACTAGTGTAATACTGCTAGACGTTTGACGTCATAATGGTTTACAGTACAGGTGACTTGGTAAAAAATAATTGGAATGCTACCATTAACCTGGGAATAACAAAGTTAGCTTCCATACATTTCACTCCTTCATACCTGTTTTTGCTCCATATATTCTGGGTTTAATGTCAAAATGCACACATAAAATGCTAGTGACTTTGAAGTGTTTTGCGAAAATGCATTGGGATACATCGAAGGTTAGCAGACCCATTGACTAACACTGACTACCTTCAACAAACTATCCAGCATGTATGTTATTTTCATCGTTTTTAAAACCCAGCACTGTTGTAATCATCTAAATGGAACCCACAAGGTCAATCTATTGCTGTTTAGAAAGGTTACGAATAGCATAATAGTTGATGTCTGATTCTGAAAACAAATAAACACTGATTTGGCAATGTCAAACATACTTCCAAGTAATTTTCCCTCAGTTTATAAAATGTAATATAATTACAATTGCAGGTACATTAACTTTATACGCTCTGACTACGATTGTTCGGGGTGGTTACCATATCTCCTTACGGAACACTTCTTACTTCAATACTGGATGCTTTCTCTAATTGGCAGATATATCGTTCTTTAATATAGGCCATATATACAACATCAAATGATGCAGCATATTCGTTATTATTTGTTTCAATGTTCTTTCATAGATGCTTATGCATTTCGTGGAAGACAGAGATTCTGTGAGATGGTGCTGGCGGAGACTATTTAAATC